CTTCACAACATTCTGTTGCAGGTAGATGAGACCTACGACAACGACGAATTCGCTGCCCAAGAAGACGCAGATCAGGCAGGGGATGGCGGGGTGGACGACGACGAGAGCGATGGCTGGAATAAGCGCGAGCTCGTGAAGCAGGATGTAGCGATGTGGGAATTGGCCAGACGACAACGTTCATCATTTCATGCCATGGACATCCTGCATGATCCTGCATGACAGCCAAACTCAGCCTTCAAGGTTGTTCAAGTTGACAGCCATGACATCGCAGCCAGATTTGCGGATGACATCGCCTGTACTACCAACAATATACCCTTATGGGGAAATAGCTAGGGCTCGGAGCTGGTTCGAGTGCCTCAACTTGAGCACGCAAGTTGAGGCCTCAATTCTGATTTTGAAACCCCCTATTAGTAGACCCAATTGCTGATTAAACAGCAAGTTGGCTTCTTGCTGTTGCTGAACAAGATTTCGGATAGCATCGAGCGACAGATTTGCTTCCGCAGAGTTTGCATCGGGGGGATCGTGAGATCCACTGGCGCTGGACATTACTCTGCGTAAGTCTGTACTTTTAACCAAGAAAAGTATGTACACAGAATGCAGAATGTCGGACAGTCGGAGTTTCAACGCGCAACCCCTTCGGTGGCTGTGAAAGCTCTATGTTTCCTGGACAACTACTTGTAACCCTAAGGGGGGTAGCAAATTTAGCAAAAAGCCCATGCAAATAATAATACAGCAAATTTAGGACCTCAGGACCACCCCAACCTCACTATAGGGTGGCACAGTCATTGCTGCTCACGTAATCCAAGTTCGCGAGATTCACCGGTTTTTCATTGTTTACCTTCACCCATCTTCTCCATCTTGTGCACAACCTACACATAGTAACCTGTACTTTTAGCCCACAAAGAAGACGTTCTGGTACTTTCAAAGACATTGGCAGCTTTTTTTACCCACTTAAATAACCAAACTTTAGATATTTTAACGCGTTAGTGTCGGCATGCCGCCGAAAAGAAAGGTAGATTGCGCTTGTGGTTAATCTCGAAGATCGTCCTTCCCCACGTCTTGAACCCCGGCCCATCCTCTTCACATACTCTTCAGTTATTCGTACTTACACCTCCTATAGCTACCGGCCACGGATTGCAGTGGTCAGTGGTACCATACAGTTCCTGGAAGAAAGGGTTCGAAATGGTACTATAAACCTGGTTGTGCCAGCTGTGGATGTAAAACGTCTGCCCGATTTCAACGTCTATCTTGGTCTGAGGTTGAGCGTCTGCAACTTCTTGGACTTAACTTTCAGTTTGGCGCTGGTTCTACTTCTGCGTACATTTGTAATGTAACACGTTTGCGATGGAGAGAAGCCGGCTTTTTTGGTATTCAGTCTCTCGGAAATCCGCAGGCAGATGATCCAGATCTAGCAATTGAAGAAGAGGAAGAGAGAGAGACTGTCGTAATTCTAGCAGACTACGATACACCAGAGGACATTTCGGCCATGTCTGTGTCAATTCCTACACAAGCAAACCCCGAAACTTCTCTTGAATCACCAACGCTGGCTGACTACCGCCTTGCGCTCTTGGAGTTTAGCGCCGTACCTTTCAAAGAGAATCCGTTTGTCCAAATGGATGAGTTCATCTCCCAAAACCCTCGCTTGTACGAGTTGAAAGCATCAGTTTTCTCCATTTCAAACTCTCATTCGGCAACAATGACCGCAAGAAGAGAGGCATAATCTTCTCTATCTGTTATGATGCTTGGATCTTGGACAGGAAGAACAACTACATCAAACGCTATCTTGGTCAGCAGCTGCATAACATTTCCTACACTACGCAGCGGCTGTTCTCTCGAATGGGTATCTGCTATCACCTGTCGAAGTCAATAGAACGCGCAAACAACCTGATCGCTGATAGCCGAGAAAAGCTGATCAAAAAAATTATCACCACCCGTCCTCTCCTAGTCGTCACCATAGATGATTTCCACTGGTGTCACATTAGGGCATTGCCTGCCACCGCAAACGCCCCAGGAAAATTCACAACGGCTCATACGGCGGCCAATTATGGGGTTAAACTCCATCCCTCCATACGCCCGCTTTCTGCAGCGTTCGCAGATGCCACCACCGCGGTTTTGAAAGATCTTGATTGGGTCACGAATATCATTGTCTGCCCAACGGTATCCTATGCTGAACTTAGGCAAGGTGCCGTCCTTTCCAAAAAAATGTACGCGTACAGTATCTCGACCAAGGCTGCATCTCAAAAGGACTTCCATCTCATTGGCAGTGACGCGAATCCCTTGAAAAGCGCAGCGGACTTAATACCGATTTTGGAGAATGTGGCAATCTTCTTGGCTAAGGTACCGTATCCTCAAAGAAAATGCGTCTTCAGCGATTGATAGGCTTTCTTCGCACAGGTGGGTTATCCTGAAAAAGATGGCGTTTTTACACATTCCCTCGTTCTGGCCGGTGACTTTTACATCTGGATGTACGCCAGCAAGCTTTTCAACGCACCAAAATTCAGCTCGCTCAAGCCCCATGTGCTCACCGTCCCTGACCTAATGCACATCTCACTGAATGCGCAAGAGGCTATCCTCATTCACGCCTGGGGCATTATCCATCCTCTCTGGGTCGCAGGGTACCCAGAGATTGAAACAACCACACCCATTAAGATGCGCCCCAAAAGGCGGACCGCCATGTTGGCTCTCGCCATGGGTGCTTGGCAGGAGTGCCGCAAGGAGATCATTTCAAACTTTGAGTCGGCCGCAGCGACCAATGGGCACGCCACAGCCATCCGAAAAGCCATGATTAGTTCATTAATCTGGGTCTTCGAGGAAGCAATTCCTCTGGCTGTGGACGCGCCGTATCTTTTGGCAAGTGGTGATATCGACTCAATAAAGAATTGTCTTCAGCGCCTCTACCATCTTTTCGTGCGGTTGGAAAAGAAGAACTACGTGAACATTGTTTTATTCATGTCGGGCTTCCTTGAAAAATTGCTTACAAAAATGTCGCCAGAAAAAGCAGCCGCTATTTTTTCAGTTTGCTCAAGTGAGGTCATGGAGGTTTTTCAGTCTGTACTGCGTCCGGCTATTCGATTTCAAGACTCGGATGAGCAAGTGTCGCGCAAGGCGCTGTTGATTACGGCGATGAAGGATGACAGTGCCATCGCCCAACTTGCCGCCATGACCGAACGTGAGAAAGAATTCCAAGAGCAGGCCGTTTCTTTCACAATTGAAGGAGGGGTGTCAACTACCCTCAGTCCTCTTGAAAGCGCAATGGAGAAGGTCGTGCCCGGAATGGTAAGACATTTGCGGGCCTGGTTCTCCACCCTCTTTGAATTCTCGTTGATGTTGTCGGTAAGAATGGAAAACTAGCCTACTCATCATCTACCCTTGCCCACTACACCCTCACATCCAACCCAACCCCTCCGCTGTCTCCATCCCCTTCACCATCCAACTCGCTTCCGACACCATTGGCTAGCCCTGCGAAGGGTGCCAAGGGGCTTTCGGTACCGAAGAAACCACAGCCGGTTGTCTTGGCCATCGTCCGCGAAACGCTAATTCCATTACAACTTCGCCGGCAGACATTCGCAAAACTTGGGAACGAGATAAACATCTCGCAGTACCAAGTCCTTCCTCCTCCCAAACGTAGCGCCCCCCTCGCCGACATCACGAACGTGCAAGGAAAACCTGCAAAGGCGAAGAAAGTGCGAGACTTCCTCACCGAGGAGACCACCCGCGGGCTACAACTCACCTCCTATGGCTGCGGCGAGAATGCCTGCAAATGCCAAGCCATGTACTCCTGGATAGCCCATCAATCCATGACATTTTTCTGGCTCAACATTGATCAAGTGCCAGCACGCGAAACTGAAGGTAAGTTTGGGGAGTCACCCTCCATTATGTGTTTATGCATGGCCACTTGACGAGGTAAGTACTCACGCGTTCTATACCATCATTAGAATGATCTGTATGATGGAGAGAAAAGTAGCTGAGGGATTGGATTTTCTGCAAGCATTTTTGTACCTCACCCAAGATCAGTGCCGATGTTAAGCGTAGAAGTTCCTATTATTAGACTCTTCATCATTAGGCAGTTTTCAGACCGTAGATTTTTTCAGGACACATTCACATTCATTTACTATTATTCTCTGTATTTACCAACTACCATTAACATAGATTTGCGCTTGTAGTTTGCTTTTTCAAGTTGGGCATTGGGTTAATTCCCAACCTCCGACGCGGCTTACGTATTGGCGCCAAATTTCTGTGGTTGCGCTGAGCAAGCCCCACCCCGTTGATGTTTGATAGTCTGAGATCTGTATTCTAAGAAACAATAAGAATCTACCAGTCTAATACTATCCGCCAAACTCCGCAAAGCCTGCTCCAAAGGAGCTATCTCCGGAGCTATCTACTATATTCCTCCGTTCCTTACCTAATCCTTCTCCGCTCCTCCGCTCCTCTTCTGCTTCTGGTTACCGTCTCTCTATAGCTGAACTCTCCTTTCCATGTCAGTCTTTATTAGTTGTCAGATTTCTGACTCTGCATTTATCTCTTACTCTCTCTGAGTCTTCCATCCCTGCTCTCAGCCTTTGAGTGGCAATCTCCTACCAGGACGCTTACTTTTGATTTCTGGCAAACAAATCGTACAATCTCGTCTGGTTCGGAATTGCTAGCAACCACTGTACATATGGATATGTAAATGTCAATGAAGCCTTACCGATCCATACATTCATCTCATTTGGTCTTCGCCCACACCTGCAGCGCATGTGGGGTGAAGTGCTGCCTTCACTACATCGCTGAATAGTGCCTGCACTCCTTGCTACACTCCCACAGCTACGGCTTTCCGCAAAACCCAAAAAAGTCCCTGGATTCCGTTCGTTGTGCTTGCACATCGACATTCATACAGACTACGGCAGAGTGGGCAGCGCGCCAGCGGCCCAGCGCTGCCCACTTTGACGTAGTCTCCGCCGGGTCTCCGTGGTCAAACCCGACTTTCCTTTGTTGCCCCCGAAAAAAAAACAAAATTTTTGCGACCCAGGTCAGATTCGAACTGACGACCTTCTCCTTAGGAGGGAGACGCGCTAATCCGCTGCGCCACGAGGCCCATTCTGTAAGTGAAGATGCTGTAAGTTATTGATATTCTTGAGCCACTCCTACCACCACCTCGATTCCTGATCCATCCCACCACCTCTGTTACTGATTTGCTCCCGGGGCCGCTGCTAATCCGCTGCGCCACGTGGCCGATGCTGTAAGTGAAGATGCTGTAAGTTATTGATATGCTTGAGCCCCTAAAACGCGGAAGAAAGGTTCTCAAAGACCGCCTGGTAGATAACGTCTGTACTGGCAGTTGTGTTTGCGGTAATCAGTAGAATACCAGCTGGTCGAATTCCTGATGCTGCTGCGTTATTGTTGTCATTGTGCCTGTCATCAAGATAACTGCTTGAATTAAATGGAGCATAGCCTGGGTATTTTGTTGCGCGCATTATTCTGGTGTGTGCTCCCCCGTTGGCGCGCGTGGGAGAGTGCGCAGCACCTTCTCCAGGAATTTGGCTTGGGTCTTGATGACACTGCCGAATTTTCAAGGTGGAGATGGTTTACATAAATGTTTGACGTTAAGGAAAGCTGCAATGGTTTCACAGTATGCAAGTATATATAATTCATCCTTCGCGGGTTCATGGTCTCCTCCAAATTAATCTTCCAACCAATGCCAAAAGGGGGACAGGTGTCTTGGGCTTCAATTTGGTGTGGGAGTTTGGGAGTGTAACGATCTGTATACCTGCTGTTTAACGTTTGATTCCAATTTTTCCGGGTGTCATCGTGCCCTCCAGCAAAAAAAAAAGAACACGCAGCTCAACATAAGCTTTTTGCCGCGGAGTATGGCAGACTAGTGAGAGTTTTATTTGCGATTATACATTTTCAGGTTTGGAGTGAAGCTTGGTGCTGATAATGCGTCATAATCTGATGAGTGGAACGAATGTCTATGCAGCTGTATTGAAGATTACTGGTAGTAATCCGTGTGTGCGAATAAGGGTAATGCCCCTCGACAACCCAGCAGACAAAACTCTTTTTGAAACTAATCGGACTTTACCGGAGGGTGCATCAGTGGACAGATAATCAATGGGCCTCTGGGATCTTCCACCCGTTGGCTTTCTGGCTTCCTGGGTATAGTGCCGTCGATGCTGTCTGGTGAACTCCATCTCTCAGCGTTCATCTTTGTCCTGCATAATGTCGACTGGCCTACCCGTAGTGATAGCGCCAGGCTTGATGCCCGCGCTCTAGACAATACGAATGGATTCGCAACCCGTAGGCATTGAATGCGTCCTAACCGTTTTGTAATCAGAAGGCTGGAACCGGTGAGGATCTAGGATGTCCTCAGTATCGTGTCAGCGCCCTGTATTTATAGTACTGGGACGGGGAATGGAAGTTGTTATCGCGAACAGGTTTTACGTTTGGTTTGGCTACTGAGAAATTACACCAGGCATTCCAAGTATAGAAAGGCTCAATATTCCCAAGTTTCTTCGTCGTTTTCATACCCCGTTGTACATCTCTCGGACCAAGTTCTCATCAGTCATGACCGTGTCAGCCATGCGAATGCAGATGCCGATTGTACGTGACAGGTGCACTTGTATTGTAGGTTTGAGTCAACTGATTCAGGGTATTCTGTACTGTCGCACAGCCCAGCGTAACCAGAACGGGAGGGTCCGCCATCCTGCAAAAGAGAAAGTTGTCGCAAGGTGTGTTTGGAGCTTTTGCAAGATTTGCAAGCCTCTGAAAGTACGCATTGACGAGAGCTTGGATCATCTTGTCTCCTGAGCAAGTCATTGGTTGAATTCATGTTTCTTGTATCTGACACCGCTGAAGTTATATCCGCTTTGTTCCTTGATCTGCTCCTCAACGACACATTTGTGGTTGGACATATACAGTACATGCAGTTTGTGTTCGAGGTCAAATCCAAGAGTATTTCATCAAGTCTTTCGCATCTAAGACTCTGCTGCTCTGCTTTTGAAACGATCCCAGACGCCTTCAGAGTATTATGGAGGGCCTTCATATTGTTCTCCTCATAGTTTTCCCACAGGAATTGCTTAGGATTTGGCCAGAAATATTTTTTACATCATGATACCAGCCCAGCAACTGCCGGTTAGAAACACCCAACCAAGCCGAGGAAACGCGTCAACGCCTCCGGAAAATCTAAACTAGCCAGCACCAAGACCCCTCAGCGTCCCGACTACACTCCTACAAGACAATGCTAGCCTCCCATTCCCCGCCAGCTGCGACTTGAGAACCTTGATGTAGTTGAGAACACTGAGGTCATCCCGATTCCAGAAGCGATGTGCCATTCGGGTTGTTTGCATTTCAGGTTTGTACAACCTGGAAGAATAGGGTCAGACATGTTTGAAAAACACACCATTTTACCCTATGGGACCTTACCCAACAATCCGTGCACATGTTCTTCCTTTCCCTCTTTTCTGCGCCAAGGCCTCGAGCTTGCACGCTTTCACAATGATCCGGTTAACTTTTGTTCGCACTCGAAACAGCGAGACGATGTACGGAATTCATCGAAAAGCAAACACCGAATCTCCCAGCGCGGAAACAATGTTCTCCATCCCTTGGTTTTGGTCAGCGCTTGGAATTTCATTAAATTCCCCCGCGTCAGACCAATCTCCCAACACCAACACAAAATTCTCCCCGTACATCTTCTTCATATTTGCAACCAAGTCCGACTCTGATTTTTGCGTATTTCGGTAGGCGTTGAATTTCATTTTTCGGTGGATAGGGCCCGAAACCGGCAATAGTCTTGAAGGTTCATTGTTTTCTGGGTTGGGATTTTGCTTTCTACTTGGGCGATCCATGATAACGCTTATCCGTCTCCCTCTTTTTCCGAAATTTTCTGCTGCCAGTTTCTACCGCCCGTTGGCTGGAGGTGGAACGGAACGTGTTACCGTTCTTCGTGTCCTTGCAAAACAAAAGATCTCGTTTGTTGGGATCCGCCACAACAAGGTTCTCCGCGAGCTGCAACCGGGAAATGTTGTTTTCCACATACAAACTTTGCAACTCCTTCTTCATCGCCGCCTATGTTTTCTTTCGGCGTTTGTTCCCACGCTTGGCGGCTTTACCGTCAGCGCATGACCATCCGTCATCACCGACCCGTCAAATATCATTCCCAGAGCGAAGTTGGAATACCTTCTTCCCCAAGCGGAATACCTGCCCCCAAAGCTCAGACTTTATCTCCGGGTTTGTCTGATGCCACCAGAACAGGAATTGCTCTGGGAATTGCGCAGCGCAATTCCCTGGGAATTGCGCAAGGGAATTGCGGTCTTGTAGCAAGTGGCTGTGCTTTTGATTAGATCAGAGGATTCGCTGCCATTCGAATTTCGCCAGAATTCGGAGGTTGGAATCTGGGCTGGAATCTGGGTGGGAATTCCTCACCTCAGCCGTTGAACTTTGTGAAGACCAGCTTCTCAAGCAAGCATCTACGGAAAGTAACTATTCTTCGTATCCGGGTCCTTTACCAAATGGTACGGGAATCAAGCATTTTGGCAGGTACAACAGCAGGCATGCGTGGAGCTCCGGTGACAACGCAATGGTCGCCATTGGTCGGCAAGATTCACTGAAGATGCTTTTGCCGAAGTATGGCGATTGTAGCAAGTCCGCGCGTAGTAGCGGGCAAATCGGCGTCATTGACGATGCCGGTGCCGGCAGATCCGAATAGTCAATATAAGCGTATTTCTAATGGCCAGGGCAAACCCTCGTTTGCTTATATACGCCATGCAAAGTTCAGGGATGTTCAATTGGAATGAAATGATGGGAATCATTTTGCCAGAACGTCAGACATGTCCAGTCGTCGTGAAACACCGTCAGCAGCCAAAAAATCCAGACGCGCATCGGTTGCCGCAAGGGCATCAACAACCAGTGCTGATGCATCACTCCCGCAAGGGCGGGACTCTGTCGCCTCTGTTTCCTCTGCATTGGAGGCGGACAGCGCCTCTTCAGTTCGAAAGAGCGTCATGAGCGACTTGGGTGGTCCGGCTGCTGATGATGCGGGATCTCTTGGATCGGTTGTTACACCCGCGTTGGGAGCGGATATTTCGTCTGGAGCACAAGCCTCTGTACCAACTACAGTTCATCAGTCTAGTGATCAGCTTGATAGTCTGCAGCCCGATCCAGATCCTCTAGATGGACCACCATCCAGCGCAGCCACGGGAACATTGGGTGAATCTGGGGATCAGGCATCAGGATCTCGACCGCAAACCAGTCCTAAATCAGCAGCCGCCCTTGCCGAGGAGGAACGGATAGCAACGTTAAAGGAGTTACCGGGAGGGGAAGACAAATTAAAGCACGATGCATTGTATATAGAAAAGGAGTTGGAGTACGATCGTGCACTACGTGAGGTCATGGAGAACGACGACCTGAGCACGTTTCGCATTGAATATGAAAAGATGCATCGTGCTGTCGCGCGTTCCAAAGAGCACGTTGAAAAACTGTTCAACCAATTTGAAAGCTCACATGGGGAATACTGCATCTATTTGGTACAGACCCAGGATGCCAAAGAAGCGTCAATACAGGATCAACAAACTATTAAAACCCTTAAGACCCAAATCAAAAAGGCAGAGGATATTGTCACTACCAGCAATCGGAGGGAGGAAATTGCCAAAGAAGAGTTGCGGCAGCTGAGAGTAGACATCTCGAATCTGAACAACACTCTGAATCAAGGTGTCGGTCTGAGCGTCACTCAAGAAAAGGCCCTTCAGGAGTTAATGCAGACCAAAGAGCAGTCCGTGAAAGAGCTGGACGAAGAGCTCGAGAAGATTGTTCACCTACGTAACGCCATTGCAGAGGTTTCAGAAAAAATCAAAACTGCAGATCAGCAGAAGCGAGATCTTGAACGTGAGATATACGAGCTACGTGACAAGGGTGCGTCTAAGAAAGCCGACATTGATGCAGAGTTGCGCAACAAGGAGCGATTAGAGCGCGACCTCAGGGAGTTGCGCGTGGTGGTGGCGGTTAAATCCCAGGAAGTGCGTGGGCGGCAAGATGCCGTCAATCGAGCTACGGATGATATATCGATATTGGAGTCTCAGATCAAGTCGCAAAAGCACATGATGG